GCTTGCTTCCTCATCCAATTGGGCATGATAATACTTCTCTCATAAGGTTGTTAGAAGGCTTAAGCAAAATAATAAAGGTCAAGAACTGAGTGAAGTGTCTAGTACATACCATACTAAATGCTGAGTATTATGACCAGACTTAATAAATGATGGTGGAAAGGCCCATGGATTAGATGTTACCTGTGGAAGAGACTCTATTTAAAAGGAAAGTAGGTCATAAGCCAAGCTCATACTAGCCTCAGAAATTATTTTTAACTTTTCACATGGAAATAATATCAATACATTCATTTGGAGCTAGAGACATTCTCAGATTTCTATAATTACATCTAGCTCTTTTTTTTTTTGGTAAAATCAGAATTCCTATATTTTCTCTGTCTAATCTCTGGAGCGCTTTCTTAGACTTTGTCAAGTTGCTTGATGAGATGCCTCATCAGCTGTGGCAAGTCAACTACTTGCTCATGCGCTGCTGTGGAAATGGACAAACCACACGTGTTAATGGACCGTGGTTACTCTTCCCAGGAGAGTGACCTCGCTCTGGAGTCCTCTAGAAACTGCACTCTGCCCTCAGTGCAAATTAGCTTTCAACACTTAAGGACGATGAGGTATGTTTCGTCAAATGAGAGACAGTTTCAAGAGGTTTGGATCTCTTTTTATGGAAGGAATGTTGAAGTTGAGTGTGAGTATGGAAGGGAAAGGAGAACAAATACATCCTCTTCCGTGCTGGTGGAGTGTCTGGGGTTTTGAGTGTTCCTGAAATGATTAACCATTCATGAAAATGTCTTAGCAAGTCCTTAAAGCTAAAAGCAGTGACGGTTCTGTTCCCTCATCACATCAGGGGTGCTGTCCTTAGGTCATTCTGGAGATCACAGTAACGTGATAAAGACACAGAAAGTGGTGAAAATAAATTAAGCCCAACAGTTACAAACAGGCCATTGTTCACCAATTATTTATTTATAACTCTATATTCCAGAAGGATTGAAAGATAGAATTTCAACTCCAGGGTTGAGAAACAGAATCATATAACTAAGCTATGCTTATTTTATGTATAAAAACAGATCTCCTGGAATAAGAGGAATATTCTGATACTATTTTCGATGCTTAATATCTCACCTTACAAGTAACATCCTGTCAGCATCTCTGCCTGATTCTTACTCCATACTAAGACTAATACAGAAAGCTATAATTAGTTTATATCTAAGCTCAGATTATAATTTTTTAAAATACCACCAACAGAGAGTAATTATTTTAGTAAAGGAACTAAAAGCTAAGTGTAAAGATGTTCATTTTAAAAGTGCTATTCAGGTTGATGTTTATAAAACTGCTACTCATTTTAAGTAAATCATGAATAAATTAGTTTTCCCAAATCCTCCTTTGGAATTTTAAGGCACTCATTAGGGAAGTTTAAAAATTCAGTCATTTGGGATGACTGAATTTCTACTTTCTGAATGATATTATATGTAACAAGCCCTCCTGTTCAGTAAAGACAGTGATTACAGCAGTGGTTCTTAAACAATGCGGGGGGGGGGGGGGGGCATGATCAAATACAGATTTTGGGGCTCCGCCCTAGACATGCTGTTCCTAAAGTAAGTCTGGGGTGGGGCCCTAGAACTTGTATTCCTAACAGGTTCCCAGGTGTTGCTGATGCTGTTGGCCTGGGGCCCACATTTGAGAACCACTGCTTTATGCCGGAAATAACTCGGGTTACTGTTATCTCTGTAAATCTTGATGCTAAAATGGATTCACTATGAGAGGGAAATGGTAACCCACTCCAGTAGTCTCTCCTAGAAAATTCCATGGACAGAGGAGCCTGGCAGAGTGTAGTCATGGGGTCCTAAAGAGGAGGATATGACTGAGCATGCATGGGTGTGTGTGTGCATGGGCACACGCACACACACGGAATACAACTATGGACTAAAATACATCAGAAGTTCACCAACTGATTAGGTAGCTACAACATAAATTAGATTAAAATATCAAAACAAAATATTACAAATTCAGAACATGTATCATTATAAAATCAATTTTGATGTCTTGAATGTTAGACTAATTTTTTTTTTCCAAATCTTGCTTCTTATTAGTAGTTGACTCTTAAAACAACATAGGGCACATTTATATTAAATGAAAGACAAGAGACTGAGATTATTTCCTATGTACCAATCATATTCTATAATATTTAGACAATTTTTAAAAGAGTAGCCCATTTATTGGCCAGATAAAGTTAGTGTTGTCCAATCCTATAAATAATTTTAAAATAATGAACTGACTTTCAAAAATAATAAAAATCCTATCTATTTTTCAGTATTAGGTAAATATCATCATCTTAATAATCTCCTTCACCAAAGACAAACTATTGATGCTGTTGGGTTATTATACTATTAAAAGAAATTTGTTTTATAAATATGATAAAAGATACAATTTAGTATGCTTAGTTTTCATATGTACAAGTAATTCATTTTCACAAAGTTGGTGCTTAATAGTTGTTGAATAAATGAAACCACATTTTCACAGATCACAGCTGTCAGTGTTTTAAAAAATCTGCAAATATACACAAAAATCTGGGAATATGAAAGGCTTTTTTGTTTGCCTCTTTAGGAATATACTGCCCTTGTTATAGGATGACAACAAACATGATTAAAAAGTACAACAGCTTGTGAAAGAACTGCATCTCTTTATAGGTCCAAGAACAAAACAATCAGATGTGTTTTCTCTCCTCACTGAGCTGAGCTCAGCATGCTAACGGTCCACCTACTTACTCTGTCTTTAGAGAGAGATTTGCAGTTTTAGAACATGATTCTTGAAAGATGCTCTATAACACATCTAAGGAGTCTTAACTATAGTAAAATGTTATAATCCGGAGAAGGACAGCTGCTCAGTACAGGTTTAAGAATCCAAAATAAGCTAACAGCGAACCACCATCCTAGAAGAAGGCTTATCAAGCTTCAACGACAACTACAAAGGTATTTGTGAGTTTCATGAATTGGCAGGACAGCTGTTAAGGAGAGTGGACTGCAAAGACTAAATTCCTGGGGGCAAAACCCAAAAGGTTACTTCCTGGTTTGTCTGAGTTCCTTGTCTCTAAAATGGAGAGAATAACATTACCTCTCACATAGGGTTGTTGGGAGAATCAAGTGAGTAAATATAAGTAAAATGCTTAGATCAGTGTATCTGTTTATTATAAATATATGTATTTTATATATAACACTATATGAGTGTAACACTTAACACTTTTATGATTTTCTCCATTTTTAGGAGTCTTCCCTATCCTCTTTATTTTCCATCCTATCCTACATCCAATTTCATTGGTGCCCAAAGGTGACTGCCAAGTCTTCATTGCTACAACATTCCTAAATACTGTTAATTCTAGCTTACATCATTCATTCTTTTTTACCATTTTATTGAAACAGATATGTGGCTCATTTGATCATCTTTTCACTAGCAAGAGATTTAGACCTCAATACTAAATATACTGCACAACTAAGTGTTACAGATGGAAACACAGGATAATGAAGGGTTAAGTATTGTATAAATGACTGAAGTTGTGTTTACATAAAAGTGAAAGGTGTTAGTCACTCAGTTGTGTCCAACTCTTTTTGACCCCATGAAGTCTAACCCACCAGGCTCCTCTGAGCATGGGATTCTCCAGGCACCAATACTGGAGTGGGTCGCCATTCCCTTCTCTATGGGATCTTCCCAACCCAGGGACTGAACACAGGTCTCCCACCTTGCAGGCAGACTCTTTACCAACTGAGCCACCAGGGGAGCCCAATACCAAATGGAAATGAAATGTACCTCCATACGGTACATTGATGATGACCCCCAAATCTTATCTCTTCTTTTGTAATAAACATACTTTTTAAAGCTAATTTTCAGACTATGAAGCTTTGAAGACTACTGGAATTATTCTTAGGGTCATTATGTTACTGAGTTTAAGCTCACTTTGCTTGCCACAGGACAGGCCAATAAGCTGGAGATGAGGTGTTGGGGAAAGGAATAATGACTTTATTGGGAAAGCGGGCAGACCAAGAAGATGGCAGTCTAATGTCTCAGCATAAACATCTTATTGGGGTCTGGATGTCAGGTTCTTTTATAGAGTCAGAGAGAGAGGGGGGTGAGGAAGTAAAAAGGTCACACAAGTCTTGGAAATATCTCCTGGAATGGCCAGCCTCAGAGAGGGGATGGATGTGTTAATTTCTTCCCAAGCCATCCACAAGTGGACAGGGTCAGGATGTTTCCTGAAACAAAGGCACTTTTGGCTTAATATTCAGACAGAAGGGCAGGGTTCACTGAGGCAGGCCATTATGTATACACAGCATCCTTTTATGGAACAAAAGCAACAGGAAGGAAAGGTTAAAGTAAGAGAAACATCTCAGCAGGGAGTCAGATTTTTGTTCTTCCCTGTAACTCATGCTGGCTGACTGCAGTGGGGGAAGGGCCACTGCCCTTGCTCCTGTGTTTACCAACGTCTTCTAGTTATTACGGAAGAGAGAGGATGGGGTGATGTCATGGGATTTATACAGATCTTCAGAGGTGTTCCCAGGAATTCAATACAAAAGAAATTCCTTCTAATTTAGGATCTAAAATATCCCTCTTACGTTCAACTAGTATGTAAGGTGGAACACATTATTTGCCCCAATTCTCCATCCTCTCATGGATCCAGTGCCCACTGCCATGTAACTTTGCAAATCTCCCTAGTCGAGGTGGAGGGTACTCGTCTGTCTTCCTCCGGGCCTGACCCTTTGATGGAACTGGTCCATACATGTGGGCGGAAGTAACATGTGCAGTTTCTCAGCCTCGCCCTTTTCCTCTCACCTACCTGCCACCGCCACAGAAGATCTTCCTGAGCAGTTGCTCCTCTCTCCTTCCACCTGGGACCCAGGCTAAGCACATGTGGACGAAAACAAAGCCCTGTATACAACACAGAGCCTAGCCCGGTGGGATCTGCTGAGGCGCAGGGTTTTCAGCAGGCGCAGATGAATTGATCCTCACGTGACCCACAGACATCGAGAAAGCAACATTTATTGCTGTATACCGTTAAGACTTAGTGGTTCTGTGTTATATAACAAAGTTGACTGATAGATTTTGTTTCAGTATTACATAAAAAAGGTTTTATCTTTTGTAGAAAGATAGAAATAACTCCACAAATATGTGTCAGGTAATGATTTTTTAAAATACCAATGACATTCAGGAAAGGTAATTAACTTGTGAAACAATTTCACATATAATTAATAAAGCAAATCTGTATTTGCTAAATTGCACTACAGGAAAGCATATAACGTATGCTAATTAAGTTAGTTGGTTATCATTTGAATAACTGACAATGTCAATGAAAGTGTGTAACTGAGAAATCCACCCAATACTTTCAATAAGTATAAATATACCTTTAATAAACATAAAGTATATTTCTAGACTGATGCTGGAATTTGTGAAAATATCCTTAATGACTTAGCTACATGTAATAACTACATTTGAACAGTAACAGGAATATTTTATATAATCAACAGAATCAAAACAAACATTTGTTGAAAAACAAATGGGACATTTAAAATGATTAGTACTTTCAAAACGACTTGACAATATGTTGATTATATGAAATTAAAGGCCATTAGCTTTACAAATGCTAAGAACTTTTCTGTTTCTACATGAATCCCATCTAAGACAATAGAGAGTAAGTGACACTAAGAAAAAATTTTGAAAGAATCTTATTTATAACCACTTATTTTAAATGCTGAGTTGGTAAAGTAACAAAACATAAGATATCTTCTGTTACCTTTTAGCACCTAGTAAATGAAAATCTTTTAAAATGCAATTTTTTAATAAGAAAGACAATTTATGGTCCATTTTAGAGAGTAACAGAACTAGACTGCATTGAGTAACATATTGCAACACACAGTTCCATAGGACTAAGGCGGGGCATTCTCAACTGAAACTGGCTGATTTTAGTACAGAAATACGACTCATAATCTTTTTATACATAGTTTAAGATTATTGAATTCAATTAAGATTATTGAATTCAATTAATGATTGTCTTTAGGGATCCATTTAAAATGCTCATTTAAAAATATTCTTGAAAAAAAAAATTCTTGAAAACATTTAAGCACAAGATCTTCATATATTAAACTTTAGTATGCTTCTGATTATTTGTCAAACTGCTAAGGAAGTGAGTTATTTCCAACAGTTCCTATTTCTACTGAGTTCAAGAGAATGCCCAGTCTCCACAAATAAAAAGTAAATAAAGGAAATGCATCAGAGAGTTTGAAAACAGTTTCATCATGCTTCTGAAGAAATGTCTTGATTTCCTGATCCTCATGCCCCATTCTCGAACTGTTGTCTTCTTTGTTTTCCTTTTGGAGAAGTTGCTCCAGAACCCAGAGCACAGAGAAAATATTTTCATAGCGTGCCACATCATAATTGGCTTGTACCTACAGAAAAACAACAAACTCCTTTAAAAAAATATTGCAGTAGCTTAGCTCAGAAAAAGCCAAATACAGAGATCAAATGTTTTTAACAAAAAGTAAAACACTTGACTTATTTCACACCTTCTATTTTCCTGTTCCTTTGACTGGGGTTGGGAGAGAAAGAAAAAAAGAGAACATTTTTTCCAAAAACTTTATGATCTTGGGCATGAGTTTCTTTCCTTACCTTTGCAAAGTTCCAGACCTTTCTCTACACTGTTGCTATAATTTGTTACTCAGATGAATTTGCGGACACTTGGCAAAGAGTCTTACGCATCCCAAGTCTTGTGTGTTGAATTCAACCTTTCCCCAAGGGCTTCCAAAGCCCGATACTTCTGTCAAAGATAATATAAGGATCTTTGTGGGCTGGATTCTAGGAACATGTTTCAAAATATCAACATAACACAGTTCTAAAGCACTTCGGGTTATGACCAATAAGCAACCAGATGTAATCTCATCCTGAGGCTATACAAGCCAGGAGGGAGTATGATTAAATTTGAATCAGATACATGGTCATGAGAAAAAATGTATATGTTTCTTGTAAAAATTATTATTTGGCTTAGATGGCTTAAAGTGAGATAAATCAAAGGAAGCCCTAAAAAGTGCACAAAGGAAAACAGAACATAAGGGAATACAAGAAGCATGTGACGATATAAACTGGCTTTCTCATTTGTTTATTAAGAAATATGCTGGAAACATTCACCAAATTTATCCACTATAGTAACAAATAAGTGAAGAAACATTTCTTTTAGAGCTCAGAGGAATGTATCGTCAACAAGGTTGTCTGATAAAGAAACAAGTATATACAGATAAATGATAATTTTGATTTTTAACTGAGGTATAATTGACATAACATATTACTTTCATGTATACAATGTACTGATTCAATATTTGTACATACTGCAAAATGATTTCCACAGGAAGTCCAGTTAACACCAGCACACAGTTACAAAATTTTCTTGTGCTAAAAAATTTCAAGATTGATTTTAGTAGCCCCTTTAAAATATGCAATATGGGGTTATTAACTATAGTCACCATGCTGTACACCTGCATTCAACCTTTTCAGTTTTCAACTAGAAATTTGCACCTTTTGACTCCCTTAACCCATTCTGCACCAGACCCTCACCTCAGTTCAGTTCAATTCAGTCACTCAGTCGTGTCTGACTCTTTGCAACCCCATGAAGTGCAGCACGCCAGGCCTCCCAGGCCTCCCTGTCCATCACCAACTCCTGGAGTCCAGCCAAACTCATGTCCATTGAGTAGGTGATGCAATCCAACCATCTCATCCTCTATCGTCCCCTTCTTCTCCTGCCCTCAATCTTGTCCAGTATCAGGGTCTTTTCAAATGAATCAGCTCTTCACATCAGGTGGCCAAAGTATTGGAGTTTCAGCTTCAGCATCAGTCCTTCCAATGAATATTCAGGACTGATCTCCTTTAGGATGGACTGGTTGGATCTCCTTGCAGTCCAAGGGACTCTCAAGAGTCTTCTCCAACACCACAGTTCAAAAGCATCAA